AGCACTGCATGCAGACAACCTCGCAAGAGTTGACTGGAACGGGGTACATGCGGTTCTGTAAGCACCTGTTTGCTTTGCTCACAGAGGACCTGTGCAGGGAACCCCAACCCGGTTGGAGTCAGTGCAGTCAGTATGGACCCATCTACTTGATGCACGAGACCAAGGAGAGAAAAATGAACAATTTTGCAGACTCAGCAGGCAACCGGTTTCATGTTGATGGCCACATGATGTATGCTGGGACCACTTTGTTTGCTGCCACCAGGGCATGGAAGTGGCAGCATGGCTTCAAGAGTTCCGACCTCCAGGTGCAGGTGATCAATGCTGCTGCTGAGGCTGCACAATTGGATCAGGGCACGGCCCAGTCCATTGCAGCCAAGCTGGATGAGAGCACGGGCCAGAGCAGTTCTCCAGCAGCCGTATCTACGGGAGCTGCCGAGGTAATGCCTTTGGATACTGAGTTGCCAACAGCGGATGAGTGCACCGGATTGATTCAGCTTCTCGAAAGCTCAAGCTGGTACCAAGGTCTGGGCACCCGAGAGATCATGCAGCTCTTTGTGCTTGGTCTCCGTGAGCACCCAACAAGCCAGGGATGGGTGGGTTGCAAACATTGCAAGAACGCTAGCCGAAAACCGATTCATTTCTCAAACGTGGAAAGTCTGCGCAAGCATTTTGAAGAGAAACACCTGCAGGAGCCAGCTACTGCGAGCCATGAAGAGGAACAGCATACACGGCCAACTGCGAACAACGATGAAGCAGTGGGCAATGAGTTGCGTGGCGTTTGGGCCGACGCAGAACCTGACTGGGCCAAAGCTGATATCAAAGATCGGCTAGCCGCAGCAAGCAAGCCTGCGCCAGCAGTTCCGATGGCTGATTTGCTTTTGAGTGAGCTTCGGCAAGCCGAAGGACATGTTGGCCGCTTCATTCAAAGAGTTGTCCAGGTATTGCAAGCTCGCGATGCTGGGCACGGCCAAGCATTACAGACCGCCTTCCAGCAGCTGGGCATTGTCCCTGACATTCTGTGCCCATCATTTTGGCGCACAAAGACCAAGAAGCACCTGACTTGGTCGGGCTTGACCCAAGTAGAAGTTTTAGGGGACGGGAAAATCAAGCTGTGGTCTTGGGATTCAGAACGCTGGGCTTGGGTTGAGGCAACTGTTCAGGATACAGCCATCACAGGCGCTATGATGAGTCTCTTCATTGATGGCATGACGGAAGTGGCAGAGAACTGCTCATTGGATCTGCCCAAAAGACAAGCAGCAAGCCTTAGCACTGCCGTTCTCTTCAACGAAGCTTGCCTAAAGCATTCCCAACAGCAACGGCTTTTGGTGCAAAAGGATGGCTTCAGCCTCAAATATGAGCATACTCCTGGAAGAGCCGACTTCAAGTACACCTCACGTAAGAGGAATCTCACCAACACTCAGGCCCAGACCAACATGCTCCAGGGTCGGCGCAAACGCGAGGAATATGCTGATTAGGGCGAGGAATCTGCTCATATGCCAGCTTAGGAAATTATGTGGTGATTTTTCCTATCTGCGATGCGTATGTTTGTTTTGTTTAACAATCAGGTCGCAGTTGATCGAGCATACAGTTGAAGCAGGGTTCACATCATAGGCTGATGATCCATGAGAGCTGGGACCCACTTCTACTAGTTGTGAGCAGATGCCGGGCACGTCCCATCTCAAAGCAGATGCAGGGCGCGGCCAACTCTTCAAAAAGGTGCACACGAGAATGATATGAGACCCAAAAATTACAGCCCCTTTTCGTCGGCACCATTCCGACTTTATTTGTCGGGTCGTTTTATTTTTCTTGTCCGGGCCGGAGATTACGAAAAATTTGTCGGCCCTACAACCCCGCCTCGTCGTTTGCTCTTTGTTTGACTCTGAAGCACCTTGAGCTTGAGCTCCTGCTCCAGGTTTCCAATTACCTCCGCTCAGAGTATGCTGCAGCGCAGGAAACTTTCAACGAGCTGTGTGGACCTCATCAGCTGCCTAGCATCAAGTTGTCATATCCTAGGACATCAAGTGACTTTTTCTAGACATCAAGTGAGATCAAACTCTGGGAACCTGGGAAGTCATGTTCCATAGAGGCGGACACACCTGCGAGCTTCGAGAACCGCCTCTCCATTCACTTCACCAGTAACAAGGCCGGTGACACTGGCGAATTTCCCTTCAACGAATGACCAGCAGTATGTCTGAACTCTGTGCTTGTCACTGTTGAAAGAACAGAATTGCTTTTAGGCAAGGCTCAATCGCTTATCCTTCATGACAGGTTCTGCCCATGAAGCTATCGGGTGTTGGATCTGTTGAGCAAAGCATTATCTTCCGCAGCAGCCAGGGACTTAATATGACTTGATGTGCTCTTTTTCTTCGCAAGAGGGTTGGTGTTGCGACTCTCTTTGTCTTTGCTCGTCCTTTTTGATCTTTTGTTGTGCCTGTACACTGTCATCCCTGGAGCACCAGGTTTCTACTCAATGCTCTACACTTGTGGCCCTTGTCCAAAAGTCCACCCACCAACCACCACACCACCACCACCACCATCATCCTCGTCCTCATCGTCATCCTCACCCTCATCGTCATCGTCATCGTCATCGACGTCATCATTGTCATCATTGTCGTCGCCACATCATCATCGTCCTCATCGTTTTCCACCACCACCACCGCCGCCACCATCACCATCACCGCCACCATCCCATCACCACCACCACCACCGCCACCACCACCACCAGCATCATCATCATCATCATCATCATCATAATCATCATCAAAATCATCATCATCATCAGCATCATTTTATTCGTTTCACGTGTTTTTCACGGTGATGTCCACCTTTCCCTCAGGTGGAGAGGCTTCGTTGCAGGCCGCTGATTCCATTCTGCTGGCATTTGGTGCTGGACAAGCAGTGCCCAATTTGCAAGACAGCAATTGACATCATGGTTTGATGCCCAGAAACTCAAGAAGGTAATAGTATGGAAGATTTTTGAAGTTACGTTGAAGAATAAACATAATAATGACAATACATATATATATATTTATATAATGATATATATGTATATATAATCATATATGTGTATATGAAGCATTAGATGCCACATATATAATTGATATTGATATGGATGGATGTGTTGCATTGTTTCCCAGGAACAGGTGGAGCGTGATGGAGCACAATCCCGGGTCGGGCTTCCATCACTCTGTCGTAGCGTCTGACCAAGCCTTGGCAGCCATTAGTATATAATATTAGTTATCCATGTAACTTATCCCCATGGATCCCATGATATACCATGATATACCATGATATACCCATGATATACCCATGATACCAATTATCCGATTACCCCCATGGATCCTATGAGATCCCTTTGGAATCTGGTCATTCCAAAGCTGACGCTTCCTATCGCGATTGTACAAAGCTAAGCCTACGCTGCAGCCAGGTGGAGATCCTAGCTTGAGCTGAAGCTGAAGCTCAATGGATTGGTTTGGGAAAGACATACGTGGATAAATGGATAGTGGGGATCACATATCCCTCATCTCGTGTGTATATCTTGTTCTTCTAAACATCAGCTGTGGAAATTGTCATTATGAATAAATATCAACTGAGCAAGCAATGTCAAAGATAGTGCGAATCTCAAGGCCTATAGGAGGGTTCACTCGTGTTGAGGTTCTTCACAGACATCACAAGGGACACCACAAGCACAAGCACAGAGGACACGGACCGAGTCTGCGGTGCTTGTGCTTGTGGTGTCCCTTGTGATGTCTGCCTGTGGTGCTAGCACTGGCAACTCCAGCAGCAGTGGTCGGTGGTCAGGTCTTCAGGGGTTTGACCGGCGTGGTAAGATAAAGTAACCATACAACCATGTGACCTGGTTTCCAAACAAAACCTGATGGTGCCTAGTTTCCAAAACTTCCATGACCTGGACAGCGTTGCTGCAAGGTTTCGTACTATGATTCTGAACTGCGAAGTGGCTGGAAATTCGCCCGCTCACAGCCACGAGAATTCAGTCTTTTCCACCAATGAATCAGACCAAAAAACATGATTACAAAAAACTATATACTTGCACATGGTGATACAGGAGAAAGAGGTAACAACTTGGCAAGGACTCAACCATTCCAGTTATTTGCGACCAGGTGTGCTTCTTCAAAACCATGTTTCACCTTTTCAATGATAAGTCATTGGTGGATAGGTTGAAGGAAATGATTCAGTTGGCAAAATCGCCTCCGCCCTCAGTACTCACGGAGGAATGGTGTATCCGGCTAGCCAAAAAGTGCCAAAGCATCAAGAAGAAATGCTTCTGGAATGGTTTTGCTCAGGCTCTTGTGGATAGTGACTGTTTTTTGGCATAAGTGATAATTTTGCAGACCTGCGCCTCTGCAATTGCCTGTAAGACATTAGACGGAACCGATTGCTGTGGTCATTGACTCATCATCATGATAATCATGATAATCATGAAAATAATAATCATCATCATCATCAAACCCGCACAAACCAGCGCGAACCCGGGCGAAACCGCACGAACCCGGGCGAACGTGCGCAAACCCGCACAAACCCGCGCAAACCCGCGCGAACCCGCGCGAACCCGCGCAAACCCGCGCAAATCCGCGCGAACCAACGCGAACCCGCGCGAACCCGCGCAAACCCGCGCAAACCCGCGCAAACCCGCGCGAACCCGCGCAGTCAAATTCGGACACGATCCCCGCTACACTGATATCATGGTGATCACGAGCAAACCATGAGCAAACCATTTGCCAGTGACTCCAGGTGTACCGACACGGAAAATAATTAGTCGTGCTGCATCCCACATTTGTTGATCCCAAGATGCTTATTTTAGTGAAAACAGGTGACGCAATCCATTAATCATCATTAATTCCCGTTTTTTTTCGGTTTTCTGCAAAATATGGCAAAATATTGCAAAATGTTGCATTTTTGCAACATTTTGGGATAATATGGCAAAATATAGGAAAATATTGCAAAATGACAGGTTTTTAACATATTTTAGCGCATCCCAGGTGTGGCTGAAAATGCTGCTAGGGCAGCAGCAAATGCGGCTGCTGAAGCCACTGAAGCTGCAGGTGCGCCAGCAAGCGGCGAAAACCTTGCCCGAAAAAATATATACAGTATGTTAAATTTATATTATATTCTGTAGATATATATATATATATGTAAGTTGACTCCCTAACAGTGGGTTGTTAGTAAGTAGCGTCATATGGTAAAATCAATATGGCCAGTATGGCGATATACACAAATCATAAAGTTTATGTAGGCAGAAATGGGGTAAATCCAATGATGGTCCCAATGAGTTTGGCGGAATTTCCAATTGTTCAGCCTCCATGGCTATTGGGATTTCCCAGCCATGATTTCTAAATCTCTTCTTTGGTGGGAAAAACGTGACGTGATTTCCCCACATCCCATGAATATTCCAATATTCAATCAGTTCTACCCAAAAAAAGACATTACGAACTCATTCATGTTCCCATATTCCACGCTTAATGAACAATCATATCAGTGTGTAAGCCCCACTATTCCAGTATATCTAATATACCATGAAATTACCAACAGTAATTATATGTGCTTCGAATGTTCCAAGATTCCAGTATTCGTAGCATGATCAACACTCACTAGTTTTCATTTTTTTAGAAGTCCCAAATATTTCATTATATCCCATATATATATAGATATATATATATATATATATCCCATTATATCAAATTGTCTCCCATTAAATCTCAATAAAATTCCCCATTACCAACCATGATTAAGCATTAGTTAATTGTTAATCACATGAGTCATGCTTGACCAACCAACTGAACTTTTTTCGTGACCATCAAAATCCTACAATGATAGTTAACCAGTTATGAAAATGACCATGAACTAGTTCATGAGTTAATATGCCAATATTAATTAGTCACCAATGACCATAATTCGTTAGTATATCCCATGATAGTGACCTGTATCATTCTTAACTGATGATTTCGATTCACCAATGGTAGTTAACCACTATAATGGTTAGTAAAACTATAATGTTTTTTTTTGTGATAGTGGTTATGGTTGGTTATTTACTCATTAATATTGACCATTAACTAATCCATGAACATCCCATGGTTCAAATCCCATGAAAATTTGGTCACATCTCCATAGTTAATGATCATGAAAATCCCATGGTTACCCTCTGGTAATGACTGCGACAGAAAGCGACACCGAAGCCATGGCCCATAGGAAGTTCGTTGATTTGATTTACCTAGCTATAAGATGGTTATTTATTTTCCAGTTCGCTATGTAAACGTTTACCAGAGGGTATATGGATGATAAGCTGGATTTACCCAGCAAAATAGATCAAACTATGGAAAATCACCATAGAAATAATGAGTTTTCCCATGAAAAATGGTGATTTTCCACTTCGTTATGTAAACTCCCAGAGGGTCCAGGGATCTCCATGAAACGTCCGAGGCCTCACGCCCTGGGCCGTGGCCAGCGCGGCCGGCAAGGCGGCCGCCAGGGCGGCGGAGCTGGAAGGCCGAAGGGATCATGGGAAAACCATGGGGAAACCCGTGGGAAAATCGTGGGAAAATCATGGGGAAATGATGGGAAATATGATAGGAAAAGTATGGAGGATTTGCCAAGAAAGTGATGATTCATTGGTGATTTTGCAGATTGGAGTCTTTCTTAATGGTTAACATTGAGATATGAACGAATATGATGGGAATCATGACATCGATTTATATCATGGGAGGTATCCCATTTTCAACATCGCAAAGTTTTAATCATGATGGGAATATTAACCATGTTAGGGGGTATCAAGCAAACTCGATGGGGATATGATGTGGACTATAATGAACCGGTCCTATAATGAACCGGTCTCAGAATGGCCTAGTTGTACCCAAATATGGGGCTGAAACCTGCAAATTTTCCCTGGAGAAGCAGTCGACTTATGGTGCTGTAATTTTGGCTGACAAGTATCGACTTACCAGATTGCTTTTGGTCTTCAATCTTGCTGATATAGCTCGAATTTTGGCCAGAAATGTGGAAGAGTTGAACAAACAAGAGCATTGAGATTGAAGTGTCCAAAAAGCCGGGAAACAAATTGTGACAGTGATCACACCCGCAAAAGATGGTGACAATCCATTGCATCTTGAGAAAGTTTCAATAGGGAGACTATGTCCTCGGTCTGACTTGATGAAAGGCAGGGATCTGCACTGGTTCGACTTGGGATGGCATTTTCATTGTGACCAATCTTCCCGTTTTTGATCTATCAATCCCAGTCCCATGCAATTCATCAAAAAGGGATGGTTAATCCCTTTTTTTCTTGGATAATGATTTTTTCGTTGATTGCAGTTGCACAAAAGCCCCCATGTAGGTTGGATAAATCCCATTTAGCGCCTGGATTTCCAGCCATGCCGGAGGGGATATCTACTATTCTATAAATAGACCCATCAATATTCCATAATATCCCATTCATATCACATTAACATCCCATAATTTTCAATAAAATCACTATTATTAACCATGATTACGCATTAATTAATCATTAATTAGCCATCTTACTCATTCTTAACCATGATAGTGACCATTAACCAACCATATTAACCATGATGAACCATTCATACTCCATCAATATTCAACTCATCCCTATTATTGAAATTCCCATTATTAACCATTACGAACCATTCATTATTAACCATTATTAACCATTCACCAGCCAATGATCTCCATCAAAACCCAATTATTATTTTGTACTTGACCATTATAATAATGACCATTAACCACTAGTAACCATTAATGGTACATAATGAATATTAATGGTTACTAGTGGTTAATATAATGTTATATAATATTCATAATGGTTACTAGTGGTTATATGTATATATATAATATTATAATGTTATTGGTGGCCATTATAATATAATGTTACCATATTAACCATTAATATACATTATACTGTATGAACCATTTGGCATCCCACGTTGTGAAGATTTGTGAAGGCCTCCTCGGCCGTGATGCTGCGCCCTTAGCAGCACACGCCGCGGCTTCGGCGCTGTCCCAGCGCTTGGCGGCGGCAGGTGGGGTTTTAAAAAGAATACAATGGTTATATATGGTTATGTATACGATAGATAGGGGATATTATGGTTATATATATATACATGGTATATTACCATATATTACCTATTAATATTGTTGGTATAATAGGGTTAATCAAAGGAAGTTGGGAAGCAATACCTATATGATAAATAGGGGATGACATATAATGATCATAGTACACTAATAATATTACTAGTGGTAGTTGTATATGGTATATTACCTATGAAGAATGATAAATAGGGGATTATATATGAAAATACGGTTAATAATCCCCGAGTAAACAATAGCATGGTTTAATATCATAGGTTTAACAACAGTATGATAAATCTGGGGATGGGTCAAAACCTATTATCGCCATATTTGGGAAATAAGCGTCCAAGAACCAGATATTGATAGGGAACACTGGTTTAATAGGTGATGAATCACATATTTTGGACCATCTGAGGGGGTTTTAATGTTAGAGGATGGGATTATTTCTAGATATAGCTGTCGTAGCTTTTATAACTGGGTGTTTATCTATTTCATAGATAGATATTGAAATCAAGCATGTACCATAATCATATAAATCATATTATATTGACCACCAAATCTAATAAAAATGTTATAACCAACAGTTGTGGTTGCATATTGTTGGAAGATCTATATGGTCAGAATATGATAGTATGATCTTGGGGCTTGAATATTATTAGGTAGTCATGCATCAGTGTATGTTCCAATAGTCTGCGTATGCTCTTATTCGGTTATCCAATTGTATTACCCAGTGATATGAATATCTTGTGGTTTTAATATATCATTTTCCTGGGATATATAGCATCAGAATCCTGTTCATCAGTTCAGTGCTGTTTTTATCGTAACAATCTGATATCAATTGATGGATTGTAGTTGTGCTTGTTTGATAGCAATGAGAATTCTGGTTGTGTGAGATCAAGAACTATCTTCCACTCCTATAGTGGCGACTCGGTATAGTTGATATAGACAGGTCACATGCATGGCTGCAGAGGGTTTCACTATTGCTGAGGTCCCATGAACATCCACATGACATTGCAACATGGGAATAGGATTTTTCATAGGCTGAGTGCCAAGAACAGCTGCAGGTGTGGCCACCCAGCGTGTTGCTGAAGAAGCTGCAAAAGTGGCAGCTCAGGCAAGTTGTCCATCCTGAGATTCAGGTGATCAAATCTTTCCCGTGAAAGCCTGGTATTTGATTCAGGAGCTGAACACATGATCGAGGGTACCTCATAGATGCTTTGTGGATGGCAAAATACACTGAGATCATGTTGGAAAGATCTAAACTTGAATTACTTGATCCCCGTCATTGATGGTGGTTCGTGTTATAACCTATATACCAGAATTCCCAGTCATACCTGTTTTTTTCTCATCCATGCAGGAAAAACCATGAATTTGCCATGGTGTTCATGCCATTTGAAAATCGCAGTACGTCCGATGCATACCATATTACATGAGATACATCATTTGATCATTTGATAGCAACGGAGACCATTTACATAATCACTAGTCGCAATTCTATTTCGGCATTGTCAAATCCCACGTTTTTGATTGCATCATGCTAGGTCAATCTCATTTACATATATTGAAATCCATCATGAGTACATCAACTGGATTGACCTAACATGATACAATTTGCACACATCACAAACACCATTTATGTAGGAATATCAAAGGATTCTTTGGAGAAATATAGCCTCTGGTTATTTAACATAGCCATGGAAAATGGCCCATTTATAGATGGTTTACCTATCAACAATGGTAATTTTCCATGGATATGTTAAATAACCAGATGGTAGCAGTAAATATTGCAATACCAGTCAACCTTGCCACAGCCAGGCCGCCGAGCACTGCGGCCTGCCGGCGCGCAGCTGTGCCGAACTTGCAGCCGCCGAGGCGGGGTGGCATTTATTAAACATAGCAACTGAATGAAAGGAGAAAAAACATGAAAAAACAGGATAATATGCAAATATGATGGATATGTTTATGAATCTATAAATGTGCATGATGATTATATGATGGTTTTTCATGATTCATGGTAATCATAGTAATAGTATTGTGATATGAATTGCCAAGTGTGATAAATAGCAGCAAATAATTGTACATATACGATATGATACTGACATACACTATTATACCATGATTATTATTTTTTTATTATTATGATCGGTGATAAATAGGAGTACTGTATGGTTTGATAAGATTATTACTTCTCTTGTCACAGGTAACATGAAAACCAATCGTAGGTTTTATTGTCTTACTGGTGCTAAACATCTGGAATGCGGGATGATCCATGACTATATAACAACTATGAACAATCATCTGATTTCCCCATTTTCTATAAGGCACCAGTAAGTCATGGAAATGAATCTTATGATTCTTGTATGTACATTATGTATTTATATTTATAGCAAAGACATATCGGATATGTCAATGTAGATCAGATATATTTCTATCAGCTCTAGATCTCCAGCGATCTCCCATAATTATGGATCTAAACGGATGGTGAAAAAAGGTCCTGAAAATGATCAATTTTGTGGGCCCAAAATGACAGCCCTTGTTTTTGTTGCTTCTCCAAGAAATCCGGTGTAGACGTTCATGATACTAAAATAGTTGTGTATACACAGAGAGAGAGAGGGAGAGGGAAGAAAAATATAGAAAACAATAGATGGATAGATGCATGCATGTCTACCACCATGAGTATCTACCTTTGTTGAATCATCATCACTAGTGATCAGCTTGAATATGTCTCTTTCTACGGTATTCATTTGTTGCTGGAAAATTTCATGGCAATGCTGCTGATAAACCATGAGGGATTAACAACAGTTGACAAGAAATGGACCCATGAATGGAGATGGTTTACCAAGACTTGGGAGATTATACCAGGAATGATTCGTTGGAAACCAACATGCTGATGAGGCACTCAAGGATAAATGGTCTCTCCGCCCAGATCAAAGCGGGAATGTTCGTCAAAGCGATACCCTTGCAGCCATGCTCAAAAGTTTAGATCCCTGCGCACCCCTCAGGGATGTGGAAAACTTGTGGTTTTTCAGCAGGTAGGTTAAGGCCAGGGTAACCATCCAAATCCCTGACACCACGTTGCAGGCCGGCAAGGCAGCAGCAGAGGCCAGGGTGTTGGCCAAAAGTGGTGTCTTTTCTGTTTTGTGCTTGGAAATCCTCAAAGAGCTGACAGTCGATTCTCCTGATGTTGGAGTACTTCGCAGGCGGTGAATTCTGCGCCAACTTCGCCAGAAACGGCTGAGCAAAGTGAGCCCGCCGAGATTCCGCCTGCGAATCAGGCCGGAAGTGGCCGATGGTCCATGTCTGTATATTGGAAAGTTTGGTAGAGATTCCATGCTAAAGGTAGAGAACGGTCATGATAGATGACCATGAGTTCTTAATAGTTCTTACAGGTGCCCAGAAGCCTTCAG